CTCGGTCTTGTCCTTTCGGGAAAGCACATGTGCCCTAGGGCAAAAAAAAAAAACAAAAACAAAACAAAACAAAGACTCAAAAAAAAAGTAATTTAAAGTAATTTTTCCTTGGGGCCAGCAGGTGGCATGGTGGTTGAGACACTGGATTCCCATATGGCCAACTGTGGTTCAAGTCCCAGAACTGACAGTTTGGTTTCTCACTTTCCCTCTTGCTCTGTCTGGTCAATTAAGAAATAGTAACGATGAATAAAATAAAATGAAATAATTCTAAAAATAATAATAAATTTTCCTCAAAATAAATCCTTCTTTGAGCTTTCTTACTTTTTGTCATTACCATTGTTTTAGTCATCCAAGATCAAAATTCTTATACATACATGCCCAAAATTCCAAAAGGCAAAATGGAGAAGGGATTATAGCATGACTATCCCCCATAGAAGGTATTTTCTCACTTCTCTCTTTCTCACCAGTGAGTGTATGTACCTTCTAGCAAATAAGAATTTTCTTTTTATATTTTGTAAAAAATATTTATAATGAAAAAAAAATCCATAGAACTCTAAAAATGTTTTTCAACAAAATAATCTTGTACTTTAATTTCATTTTTTCATGAACTTTTGAAGTCTTTTCATAAATCCACATATTCAGATACAACTTTAAATAATTCTAGGCTAAGGGATAAATCCAGGAATAATCACATTATTCTCTGAGATATTATTACCACTTTAAGACGTCTAAATCTCTCTCATTCACACACACACACACACACACACACACAGAATTTATTTATTTATTTTTAAGTTTTTGCCACAGGGAGCATACACTAATTGAAGAGAGAGGATAAATGAGAAATGATTCCAGGTGGATGGCCATGCTGCAATCCTTTCTCCTCCACTTTCCTCTTGAAATTTTGTGCCTGGTGTGATTTTCAAGCTGCTGGGTCTGGGACTTGAACTGTGGTTGACCACATGGCAGTCCAGCACCTTAACCACCACAGTGCCTGCTGGCCCTAAACCATCTATTTAAATAACAACCTAACTACTCTAAGGCTCTGTTTATCTGTAAAATATGGATAACTTTAAAGATGAATTGCACATATTAAATGAAAAATATGTAAAGTTCTTGAAACAATGTAGGGTACTTGGTAAATGCTAAATAACTGGTGTGTTATGAGTAATAATAAGCCCTAGTCCTAATTAACTTATGTCTTTAAAGAGTATTCCCCAAATATTGGATTGTGGGAAAAGCCATGATGCAATTTTGTTTTCCCACAACCCAATATTTATGTAATAACAGAACAATTCTGATGTTCTTCCAAGCTGGCTAAAAAGATTCTAAGAACAAAAGAGATTCAAGAACTGTTACGTCTTTTGTCACAATTTTATAATTCTATCATTCTTATCAGTGTTCTTCCTACTATTCACTACAACTCAACTTCTTTATTATTACAAACCATTAAAATAAGAATTTAAAATATACAAATACTTAAAATGCATATTTTATTTCAGTAGCCAATGACCATCAATCAAACAAAGAAAAGAATGCTAATTTTATGAAGAAAGACAAATCTATGGAGTGGTTTACAGGAAGTGAAGAATGAGATGGCTGAACTAAAGCAACTTGGAATCATTAACTACAAAGTGTCTAACTGTACAGCAAGTGTCAAAATAGGGCATTTAGGCAGTTTGCAATGTTACCCATCTTCTTTCAACTTTTGTTATTCTTCAAAATTTTATGTAAAAGTTACACAAAGTAGTATAGCTAAAAATACCAGTCTGTGGAAGTAGTGATTTATAATATATAAAGTTCTATTTTGATACTTTTCCCTCTTCAAATCAGTTGCTGTCATCTGGGGTACTCAGTTCAGTGGCGGTTTGAACTTCCTCAACTTGACAAGAAAAGCTAATTTAAGAGGAGAAAAGTGAGGTTAGTACGTTAATTAGAAGAAAAATAAGTCTTTTAATATGATCTGAAAATATTACTCACCTGTATGACCAGTTTGCCAGCGAACAGGTCTAGCAATATAGGGAAATGATCCATATGCGAAATCAGAATGTGATTCTTCTGTTGTAAAACAAAATGTGTATTATAAACTACTTAAAAATCTACAATTTGTTTAAAAATTTTTAAATATAAACTACTCTCCCTTTACTGTAAGTTTTTTTTCTCTGAGATATTTTTTCCTAGCAATGGTTTTGGAACTACTCTACCACTTATTTTACAGAAACAACTTACCAATGGTTACATGATAAACTTATATATAATCTTACAACCAATGGATAAGCCTATATCATAAGTCAATGGGTATTTGAAAACTTGCTCTTGGCCTAACCAATATACAACACGCACCTAAACTTAGTTCTTTGAAGAATTTCAGCAGCATCATTTTTTTTTAAAAGAATTATTTAACTTTATTTATATTTTTATTTATTTTAATTTGACCAGAGAGGGACAGAATGAGAGAGAGAAAGAACAAGAGAGAAAGAAAGCAAGCTGCCAGGTCTGGGACTCGAACCATAGTTGGTCATGTGGGAGCCCAGCACCCTTAACCACCATACCACCTGCCCGCCCTCTTTAAAACTGCTTTTTGTGAGGCCAGCAGGTGGTGTTGTATTTAAGCCACTGGACTCCCACATGGCTAACCATGGTTTGAGTCCCAGACCCGGCAGTTTGATAATCATACAGGGTACCTATGTGTGCATGTACAAAGTCCTAGGAAGAGAATGGTAAAAAAGAGATTGTGGCTTGGCAATTTCCCTGAGGGGTAATTTCTCACTTTCCCTCTTACTGTCTCCCACAGGCACACAGGTATTAAGGCACAAACCTTTAAAAAAAATTCCCTTTTGGAATATTAGGTATTTGCATATCAGGCCCTATTAAATTAATTCTCTTTATTAATAACTGATCTAAATTAAAACATTCCTTAACTGTTTTTTTGTTTTATTGTTTTGTTTTGTTTTTAAGAGAGATTTTTACTATAGGGTGCATGCACTCGGTGAAGAGACAGAGAGAAAAAGTGATAAATCACTCTCCAGAGGGAATGACTATGCCGCAATCCCTTCTCCTCCATTCTCCTCTTGGGATTTTGGGCATGCTTGCACAAGCACTGGCATGAATATTAAGCCACCAGGTCCAGGACTCTAAGCTCAATTAACTACGGGGAGTCCAGCAAGGTAACCATAATGCCGTCTGCTGGTCCCACAAACCAAGTTTTGTGACAAGTAAAATATGAGTATTATATCTTGGGATTTTGGGCATGCTTGCACAAGCACTGGCATGAATATTAAGCCACCAGGTCCAGGACTCTAAGCTCAATTAACTACGGGGAGTCCAGCAAGGTAACCATAATGCCGTCTGCTGGTCCCACAAACCAAGTTTTGTGACAAGTAAAATATGAGTATTATAAAAAGCTCAATTTTTTTTTTTTTTTTTTGAGAGAGATTTTCGCTATAGGGCGCGTGCGCTCGCCAGACAGACAGAGAGAGACATAGAGACAGAAAGCGAGAAATCACCCCCCAGGGGGGATGGTCACGCCGCAATCCCTTCTCCTCCATTCTCCTCTCGGGATCATGGGCACGCACGCACACGCGCCCGGCGTGAGTTTTAAGCCACCGGGTCCGGGACGCGAACCGCGGTCGACTACGTGGGAGTCCAGCGACATAGCCATTACGCTAACTGCTGGTTCCCAAAAGCTCAATTTTTCAAAAGTATCAGAGTTTTGTATAGAGGAAAAGTCATTATTCTGTTCCTTAGATATTTTAACTTAACAATAAGTCAATAAATACCACATTTTGGAGCCAGCCAGTGGCATGGGTAGCTGGATCTCACATAGGCAACTATGTAGTTTTAGTCCTGGATCCAGCAGCTTGAAAACCATACTGTAAGCATGTATGTGTATGCCCCAAAATCCCAAGTAGAGAATGGAGAAGAGACTATGGTGTGGCCATCCCTTCTGAGGGGTCTCTCTCTCTCTCTCCAGTGACTACCACGTACCCTAGAGCAAATTAAAATACATATTTCAATGTCTATAGGAAAAAAAATTCCTAAAGTATTTTTTCTTATTTTAAGGTTTTTTGCTATAGGGAGTGCATACTCACTGGAGAAAAACAGGGAGAGACAGAGTGGGAAAGTAAGAAATCATCCCTAGGGAAATGGCCACACCACAACCCCTCCTCCTCCATTTTTCTCTTGGGATATTGGACACACATGCACATTCATCCTGTGATTTTTATGCTGCAGAGTCCAGGAGTTGAAACATAATTGGCCATGTGGATACAGTGCCTTAACCACCATGCCACCTGCTGGCCCCTTTGAAGAATATTTCTGTAATGTATTGTTTAATACACTTAGGAACCCATTTTTCATTTATTATCATAAACACATACATAAGATAAAATTGAAGCTCACCATAATTATCCTCTTGAAACAGCTCACCTTCAACTCTAATTTTCTTTTGAGAATGTAATTTTAAATCTGTGTTGATTTTAGGTTCTACTTTTTGAGCTAAAATTCCATTCTTTTGTTTTGCAAGGCAAACCAACCAATCTCTGACAATGACTTCGCTTATCTTTTCACATGAGAGAGCAAGTTCACAGATGCGAATTCCATCTAGAAGTTCAATAACCTGTGTGATGCTTTCAGAAAAGTGAAAAAGTACTTTACATTTCTATTAAAATAATAACTTTATATTTGCTTTAAGTTTACGATACCTCTTACCCACATTTAAATGCTATTGTTAAATCAAATTGGTTGAGGGGCAGAATACAAGTCAAGTTAGGGAACATGAGAAGTAATTTCACAGAACACTAAGTATAAAAGTACAGAGACCATAATATAACACTACTCTTCACTTTTAAAACTCTTCTTCCAAATTGTCAGAAGAAATATGCATCTTATATTACCATTTACATAAAGAATGATCTAAACACAATATAACTGAATTTGGGCCATGTGCCATTTTTTAGGTAAAATAAAAGTGTATTTTAAAATCACATTACAGGGGCTGGCAGGTGGTGTGGTGATTAAGGGTGTTGAACTCCCACATGGCCAACCGCGGTTTGAGTCAGGACCTGGTGGCTTGCTGTCTCACTTTCCCTCTCTCTCTCTGTCCCTCTCTGGTTAAACAAAAATAAATAAATAAAGTTAAAATAATTCTTTAAAAAAAAAAGACATTACAAAGAAAAACAGCCCCATTACTCACTTTGCTAGATATACAGCACATACACCACTCTGTTTAAGATGTGGATATAAAACAGGCAAAGCAAGTTGAGGATTTAACATATCCAAAGCTACCTGTAGCAGGGAGAGGGAAGAAGAAAATTAGATTAGTCTGATTCTGTCCAAATAAAGAATAGGATTTTTCTTTCTTTTTTATTACTGCCAAAAGGCACATGGTCATGCCTCAACCTCTTCTCCATTTCTTCATCCTGTTGGGATTTTGGCCACACATGCACACACACACACCCAGCATATTTTCAAGCTGCTGGAGATAGGATTTTGAACCACACAGTTGGCCATGTGAGATCTGTCTCCCTTAACCACCAGGCCATGGGGTTGTCCCACACAGAATTTCGTATTATCATGAATACGCTTTTGAAAAGCAATTACCTAGTTAAAGGTATTTCATATTTTAGAGTATATTACTATTAATTGTCATTTGCTCTCCTAAGAGTAGGGTTATTTGGCGGGGGTTATTTTACAAATTGTCACAGTACTTATAAATTATGTTTTATATTTGGCAATATTGAGAATAAAGGAATCTTCCTTTGGCTATGAGTGTGTATATTATTACAGCCAAAGACTCCTCTGTTTTCAGTATTGCCAAGTGCAAGATATGTCATTATGATATAAAAAATTTTAACATCTGAGATGTAAATTTCTGCTAAAATTTATAAATTTATGGTTCACTGTTAGCAATAGAAATCTACATTTGAGCAGCTAGCAGATGGTACAATGGCTATGTAGCTGAACTCCCATGTAGTCGACCGTGGTTTCAGTCCCAGACCTAAGAGCTTCAAACTCATGCTGGGCACATGTGCGTGGATGCCCAAAGATCCCAAGAGGAGAATGGAGGAGAAAGGATTGCAACATGGTCATCGTCCCTGGGTGGTGATTTCTCGTTTTCTGTCTCTCTAGTGAGAGCACATGCCCTATAGCAAAAATCTCTCTTAAAAAAAAAAAAAAAAAAAAAGATAAAAAGATGCCTATTAGAGGGTTGGCTGGGGGCATGGTGGTTAAAGTGGATAGATCCCACTTGGGCAACTTCAAGGTTTTTTGACTCCTGGACATAGCAGCTTGGAAAACACTCTGGGCATATGTGCAGGAGTGCCCAAAGTCCTAACAGGAGAATGGAGAAGGGAGCATGGTGTGGCCATCCTCCTGGGGAAGGGAGGGATGATTTCTTACTTTCCCTCTGTCTCCAGTGAATGCATGTACCCTATAGCAAAAATTTAAAAATAAAAATAAAAAGATGCCTATCACACACATATCCAAGTGCAAGTTTCAATGATCTAATCAAAGGGCCAACATGATAGACACAAATGGGATCTTAGACTATAGTTTTATTATATTATTGCCAAGAACCAAAATCAAATAACCAAGAAACCTGCTAATCCTCTTGAAATTTCTATTCTCAGTTAACAGCATTTCCACTCATCTATTCACTAAAAATGATGGAGAAGTGGAGAAATTTAGGAGTCATCCATTTCTTTACTTTGAATTCTGAGAATTTGTAGAGTTTTTATGCTATAGTTTAAAGACCAATAAATCTCTTAAATTTTATTTGTCAAATTAATCCCTCTACCCTTGCTATAGTCCAAGACCTCATCCCATTTTGTTGAAATATCACAATAGCTTTCTGCATAATCTCTTAATCTCCATTCTCCCATCAGAAATACTCTAAAACAGGAATCTGGTTGTTTTACTCTTCTACTTAAAAACGTATCAGTAGGGACCAGCAGATGGTATAATGGTTACATTTCTGGACTTCCACATGGTCAACCACAGTTCAAGTCCTGGACCCCCTGGCTTGACACTCACATCAGGCACATGTGCATGCACACCCAAAATCCTGAGAGGAGAATGGAGGAGAAAGGATTGCGGCATGGACACCCCCCAGGGAGTGATTTCTTGCTGTTTCTGTGTGTCTCTCTCCAGCAAGAGCATGCACCTTATAGCAAAAATATCTTTAAAGAAACCATACTGGGGACCAGCAGTTAGCGTAATGGCTATGTCGCTGGACTCCCACGTAGTCAACAGGGGTTCGCATCCCGGACCCGGTGGCTTAAAACTCACACTGGGCACATGTGTGTGTGTGCCCAAAATCCCGAGAGAAGAATGGAGGAGAAGGGATTGCAGCGTGACCATCCCCCTGGGGGGTGATTTCTCACTTTCTGTCTCTCTCTGTCTGTCTGGCAAGTGGACGCGCCCTATAGCGAAAACCTCTAAAAAAAAAAAGAAAAAAAAGAAAAGAAACCAAACTTATCAATAGTTTTCCAGTATCTACAACACCCTTGCTTGATATATACATGTTTTTATTACCTAGTCCCTCCCAAATGCATTTGTAGCTTTATCTCATGATACTCAATTTTATAGCCATAGTGGGTCAGTTTTCTGAGTCTTCCTATGAAGACTTTATATGTCTTTATGTCTCTTTCCTTCTAGATCAAACATTCCTTTGCATATATAATTCATTTCTTTCTTTCTTTTTTTC